CATGATACCGGTGTTATTCAGCGCGGGCTGTCCTTTTATAAGGGTCAAACCGTGTTCAAGGCAATAACGCAATTGGAAATTTAACTAAATTTTTTTTATTATATGTTTAAAAATAAACGAAAATATAACAGTGTAATGCACCCATTTTTTTATTTCATTGTGTTCGGATTTTACAAAGAATACAAAAATTCCAATTTATATAAAAAGGATATAACTTTTGTATACTAGTAGCCAATCAAAATGGGAAGAACTAAAAACTGACAGTGTACAAACAAGGTTAAAATCGATAAAATTCGACCTACAATCCTACAAATGATGCGACATGTTGCGAAGAACATAATTATTTGATAGATTTTGGGTAATCTGCATTACGAGTTGCATCAATTGCGTAAATTAAAATTCTCAACTCGTCACGGAAAACGGAATCAGTGCCTGGCGCATGGCGCACCAACAACTCGCGATCCTTTCGACTCAGTATCGAAAATTGCGTTGCGCTGATACAGTAATAGCTGGTGTATCAACGCTCGTAACGCATACAACTGCGTTAACGCAATAACGCAACGCAGCGCTGCGTTATCCATGTCTACCGCGCCCCTTTGAACCGTGTTGATTTACCGACAGACGACGGGACTCATCGCGCCGACCGAAGATTGGCAAGCTTACCCTATCCAACGGAGTGAGAACTGGCAAGTTTGGCGCGTGGAGTGCCACTCCACGCGCCGTTGGATCCCTGCTTTACAAATGTAGTATCTGTAGGTCGATAGAATGCTCTCAACTGTTTATATACTTATTAACTTAGAGAACCATTGTTTAAATACGTAAATAATGAGTCCATAAAATAAAACTTTTACCTTTTTCTTGTTATTTGTGGGAAATAAGTCACTAATACATAGGTACATGTAGCTTTTAGGTTGTGACTCAAAGTTTCAACATTCAATCTATTATTAAACCAGGAGGAAATTTTGACAATGTACTGGGGAATGTAGCTATCGTTTCAAATCGACAGCTTTGAAATCGCGTTATCTGTCTTGCATTTATCAATTTCCTTATTTAACTTAACATGAAGACAGAGGTAAAAATAGAACAGAATCATTACCAAAGCATAATGGTGTCTGTTCCAATTTTGAGAAGACACAGTTACAAAAACCTAATCAAGAAATTTAATTTGAAATTAGACCATTTTCTGGATAAGAAGGACAATTATACAGAAGGTAGAAAATGTTATATGTAAATATCAATTCTGAGCAAGGTGTCAAACTAAAACTGTCCGATATCATACGAAAAATTAGTGTAGCAATAAGTAATAGCAAAAATGTCTGAAAAAATTTAAAATGTATTAACACTGTGAAATCTAAAAATTTAAACTGTAACATGTCTACTAACTTGGGCTCTATAGATTTGACAGGTTTAAATAATTTTACTGTTCTTCCTATTAATAATAGTAACTTGGGCTCTATAGATTTGACAGATTTAAATAATTTAACTCTTCTTCTTTTTGATAATAGTAACTTGGGTTCCATAGATTTGACAGGTTTAAATAATTTAATTGTATCTTTATATAGGCCAAAGTAGCTGTATAATTTTTTTATTGTTTTAGCACTTGAGCTGAAGAAAATTTAAGTTATTGTTTCTGGAGATTTTAATATTGACCTGTTAACTAAAAACACAGTGCGAAATTAAGTGATATTTTGATTGATACTGTATTAAAAAATATTGTTACAGAATGCACAAGACCAAATAGAAGTGGTGGAGGTACACTAATAGATTTAGTTATAACAAACAATGACTCGGTTTCAGCTGAGGTTATCAAAACACCAAGAATTTCAGATCATTTTATGCTTTTAACAAATGTGCTATTAAATAGTGATGGGTGATCTGTTTTTGAAATTGAAAGCAGAGAGAGGTAAGGACTTAAATGTTGATCTAATTATTAACAAACTTTCAACATTAGCATGGAACTATCATATTTATGACAGTATGATAATTTTGTAATAAATATTTTAAACATATTAGATTCAGTAGCGCCAAAAAAACAAATAAAAATATTTCCTAAATACAAAAAATGGCAGAATGAAAATGTAAAAGCTGCCACAAGGTACAGAGACCTTGCATATAAAAATTATTCACAAGAAAAAAACAGAAAATAATTGGAATGAATACAACATGCATAGAAATAGAGCCGTTAACGTAATTAGAACAGAAAAAGTGAAAATATCTTGAATGTCTGATTCCAAAAAATAATAAGTCGAATAACTTAATTGAACTTGAACTAGAAAATAATGTTATTATAAATAGTATATTATGCAACGATCATGTAATGATGGTTATTAATAAACGAGCATTAACCGGGATACGAAACGAGCCAAATGCGAGTTTCGTATGGTTTAGGCGAGTGTATTAATAACCATTACATGAGAGTTGCATACGCTATTTTTTCTACACCCGATAAATAATCAAGAACTATAAATATTATATTTATATTGGTATTGAACACAATAACAGTAATTACTCGTATTTCTATAAAAAATTCTACAAAATTGTAATTAATGGTATTACCTTGGGTATTGGTATTACCATAGATTTTTTGGGCAAATTATTGTGTACTGCATTTTCTCCTTTCTCCGATATGTGTGGAGGAGTCTTCTATATCGCTGATATCAGACATGTTGATAATATAATTATCGAAGTTTAGCTATCTACGAAAATTTAATACGTTTTGACAACTAAGACAATTACATAGGAACCTAGGACAAACGTCAAAGAACATGCTTGATTGAAAAATTGTAGGTTTCTATTGATTAAAAATCTGTATCGTAATGAAAAATCTGTATCATAATGGGTATCATTATGAAACGGATTATGAGCATATAAGTGCATTATTATAATACGGGTGTAGAAAAAAATATTTTTGACATGCCAAATACTCTTAAAATTTTACATAGACAGTATCCAATCGATTGTTAGTATGATTTATCATACAATACCAGATTATCAAATTTTAGACAGGCACAATGGACATTTTCTTGGAAAATTTCAACTATGTACGGTGGATTCTTTAAGAGACATTATTTTTGCAATGAAAAATAAAAGTAGCACAGATGACATTAACATTAATATTTTAAAATACTGTTTTCCCAACCTATCACAATCACTTTTAAATTTGATAAATTCGTCATTAGAAATTTCAATAATACCTAATTCTTTAAAAATTGCTATGGTAGTGCCTGTTCTAAAGACAAAAAACGCACCTAGAGCTACATATTTAAGGCCTATTAGTATGTTAAGTTGTATCAAACAAATCATTGAGAAGGTCGTTTATGAACAAATTGTTAATATTTTAGAACAAAATAAACGTATTACTAGAATACAATCGAGCTTCAGATGCAAACATAACTGTGAATCAGCTATCCAGTGTGTTTTATAGGACTGGAAATATAAATTTGATAAAAAATATCTAACATTGGCAGTTTTTTTAGATCTTCAAAGGGCATTCGAGACTATTGATCAAAACCATTTGATAAAAAAAGTTGAAAAGTATGGGAATAGTAGAGCAAGCATTGGAGTGGTGTGTCGATTATCTAAGTAAGAGGAAACAAAAGTTAAAAGTAAATAACATTTTGTCAAGGGTCAATGTGACATTCACCTGTTTGCTGATGATGCCCTAATATATTTTTCTTGTAAGGATTTAGATAACTTGGTAAGAGTTGTTAATGAAACACTGCAACATGTTTATAAATGGTGTTGCAATAATTTGTTGAAAATTAACACAAATAAAACAAAATGTATGCTGATAAGTAGCAACTATAACTATACACAGTTTGTTGATAAACAATATAACATAACAATTGGGGGAAATTCTATACAGTTAGTAGAAAAATTCAATAAATTAGGGACAATGATTGACAAGCAGATGAGATTCATAGATCTTGCCAACACTGTTATTAAGTAAAATGTCCTATTTAGAAGTTCATTTGGCTTATCACAGTGGACTAAATGTATTATATATAATAATAAATTCTAGCTCACTTTAATTATTGCTCTACAATACTCTATTAACTAAATCAAAATGAGTTGAACCAACTACAGAAGCTGCAGAATAGGGCTATGCGAATAATATTATCCTGTTCAAAATATACTTCCATTAATCTAATGCTTGAAACTTTGAGGTGCATGCCAATCAAAAGTCTCTTATTACGGAATGCGTTAATTTTTATTTATAAAATCAAACACTGGTTACTTCCAATGTACCTAAAAGAGAAGCTTAATTATCACTCTAATGTGCACAATTATCCAACACGGAACAAAAATAACTTTTATATTGAAACAGTTGTTAAGAATGCAACACAAAATTCACTATTTTTTAAAGGTCTAAATCAATATAACTCATTTTCAGAGAAAATTAAATCAGTAACGTCTGTAACTACATTTAAAGTCAAAGTGACAGATTTCTTAATTGATGAATATTTCTCCAGAAACAGAGACAACCTATAGAATTTTAGTTAGTTTTAATTGTATCTAAATTATCTATATTTTGACTTATATGTATATTTTTAATAAATTTGTGTATTGTGATATTAGCAAACTAACTAAATAAAGGAAATAATAATAATAGATAATTATTATGAGTGATTGAGTTATTTTATAGGTTTAAAAATTTGATTATCTTATACAAATGACAATGTTATAAGTTATAATCTGTACCAATTTGATGATCTACAAAGTGCATAATACATAGATTTGGCCGATACACTTAAAAAAGCCACATTACTATTAACCAGTACAGAAATTATTTATGTTGATACAACAAATTTCAAGGTTAAACATTTCTAAATACATACTAATCCAATTCTATTAAAATTATAGTCACAATAATAATTATACCTCATTTTAAAGTTAAATACCAATTGCATACTTAATTAATCACTGGATAAATATTTTTTTAAACAAATTCAAAACGTAATATTCTGTAATTTTATTCATAAAACATATACTTCACTTACCAGCACTCGTTAATGTCCCATAACCAGGGTTTGTCCCACAATATTGTTAACCCATATGTAAAACTAAAAATGTAGTATATGCAGCGCCAAGCGTTCTCACAGAATTTAATCAATGTTGATGGTTTATTCTGTCCTTTACGCAATCTTAACCATCTTTCGACTTGTCTTTCGGACATGTCCAGCTGTTTAGCCAGCCCTTGAATCTGGAAAGTAAACCAAAAGAGTCGAATTCAAAATATTATGAATTGCCATTTTTGTGAATTATTGTTTTCCTAATTATGACTTAGTAAGAAGCACTAGCGAGTTATTGTCACAATTTTGATTTATTAACTAGCTACTGTGTGTAATTATCATAATTGTGACTTATTAACAAGCAATTACAACTTATTAAGAAGCAATAATGAGTTGTCACTGTTATTGTGACTTATTTATTCCCAATTATGAGTTATCAATTAGCAATTATGAGTTAATATAAAGCAATTGTGACTTACTAAGAAATTGCGAGTTATTGTGGCAACTGTGATTTATTAACTAGCAATTGTGAGTAATTATCGCAATTGTAACTTATTTATTCCTAATTATGATTTATTAAGAATAAATTGTGACTTATTAATAAGCAATTGCGAGTTATTGTCACAATCGTGATTTATTTATTCCTAATTATGAGTTATTACAAGGCAATTGCTAGTTATTATCATGCAATTGTGATTTATTAACAAGCAATTATGAGTAATTATTGCAATTATGAATTATTTCTTTCTAATTATGACTAAATAAGAAGCAATTGCAAGTTAATGTAGCAATTTTGATTTATTTACTATCAATTTTGATTTATTTACTAGCAATTGTGAGTAATTATCGTAATTGTGACTTAATAATTAACAAGCAATTACGAATTAATATAAAGCCATTGTGAGTTACTGTCACAATTATGACTTATTTACTCCTAATTATGAGTTATTAACAAACAATTGCGAGTTATTATAAAGCAATTGCAACTTATTAACAAGTAATTGCTTGTAACAGTGGCAATTGTGACTTATTAACAAGAAATTGCGAGTGATTATAGAGTTTGTAACTAATTTATTGCTAATTATGACTCATTAACAATCAATTGTGACTTATTAATAATCAATTGTGACTTATTAAAAAATTGCGAGTTATTAAGAATCAATTGCGAGTTATTTAGAATCAATTGCAAGTTATTGTCACAATCGTGACTTATTTATTCATAATTATGAGTTATTACCAAGCAATTGCGAATTATTATCAGGCAATTGTGATTTACTAACAAGCAATTATGAATAATTATCGTAATTGTGACTTATTTATTCTTTAATTAAAACTTATTAAGAAGCAATTGTTAGTTATTATCACGCAATTATGAGTAATTAATGCATTTGTGACTTATTTATTCCTAAGTATGGCTTATTAAGAATAAACTGTGAGTTATTAATGCAATTGTAATTTATATACTCCTAATTATGACTTATAAACAAGCAATTTTGCCTTATTAACTAGCAATTGTGAGTATTTATCACAATTGCTAATTATAATTTTAGAAGTAATTGTGACTTACTAACAAGCAATTGCGAATTATTGTCACAGCTGTGATATATTTATTCCTATTTAAATTATTAACAAGCAATTGTAACTTATTAAAAAGCAAGTTACTGTCGCAACTGTGACTTATTTACTCTCAATTAGTAATTGTGACTTATGATCAAGTAATTGTGACTTATTAAGAAGCAACTAAGTTATTGTGGCATTTCTAGCTTATTAACAAGCATTTGTGAGTTGCTATTAGAATTGTGACTTATTTCCTCCTAATTATGAGTTATTAACAAGCAATTACAAGTTATTATAAAGCAATTGCAACTTATTAACAAGTAATTGGCTGTTACTGTGGCAATTGTGACTTATTAACAAGAAATTGCGAGTAATTATAGCGTTTGTCACTAATTTATTGCTAATTATGACTCATAAACAAGCAATTGAGACTTATTAATAATTATTAACAAATTGTGAGTAACTGTCACAACTGTGACTTATTAACTAGCAATTGTGAGTAATTATCACAATGCTGACTTATTTATTCCTAATTATGATTTATTAAGAATAAATTGTGACTTATTAATAAGCAATTGTGAGTTATTTTAAAACAATTTGAACTAATTAACAAGTAATGGCTTGTTACTGAGGCAATTGTGATTTATTAACAACAAGAAATTGTAAGTATAGCATTTGTTACTAATTTATTACTAATTATGACTCATAAACAAGCAATTGTGACTTATTAATAATCAATTGTGACTTATTAAGAAATTGCAAGTTATTGATGCCATTGTAATTATCACAATTATGACTTATTTATTCCTTATTATAACTTATAAAGCAATTGTGATTTACTAACAACCATTTGCAAATTATTGTCACAGCTGTGACATTTATTTGTAATTGAGTTATTAACAAGCAATTGTGACTTATTAAGAAGCAAGTGCAAGTTACTCTTGCAACTGTAACTTATTAGGTCTTTTCCTTTGCATCGAAAGTGTAGCACTAAGTTATGCCGCTTCTGAAAATATCGTTCTATCCATACATTTTGTATAAATGGAACAATATTTTCAGAAGTGGTGTAGCTCAGTGCTACACTTTCGATGCAAAGGAAAAGACCTAATTACTCCTAATTATGACTCATTAATAAGCAATTGTGAATTAGTATTACCCAATAATGACTTATTATCACAATTATTGCAACTTATTAACATGCAGCCAAGAGACAATTTTTTACACTGCAACTTATTTCATTACAATAAATTTATGACAAGTGTTACAAAAAAAAAAAATCTGGCAAGTTCAGCAGAAAATGGTTCTTATTCCATTTAAAAAAAAATGTCAATACTACCCTGCTAAGACAAGAGGTCATATCTACAAAATGAACATTTTTATTGAGTAGACTTCATAAAATGATAAGTTATGCAGTTGTGACTAATTTTTTTATTTAATTTTAAATGTTTTCTAATGCAGATGGGACTTTCTAAATTTGTATCATATAAAATAAAATATAAGATTACTATGTGTAAAATCTTGAAATCAGAATATTTGTAGTATAACCTCTTGTCTTAGGAGGGCAGAATAGGTGTTCTCATTTTGACATTTAGAGCTCTCATATAACTCATATGCCCATATAGAGTATTTTCTATCTAAACATTAAAAATCATGTTTTACAAGTACTTAATTTTCAGTACTCAGTTCTATAAAATTCAAGGAAGTTTTATCAGTCATTATCTTACACATTACTATGGCCCAGATAAGATCTCTTTTGTTATTATTACTAATTACTGCACTATAGTTTATGATGTAATCCTTTTATTAAACAATTTAAGCCTACTATACATTATGTAAAAATTTAATACATCATTCTTAATGTTTGCGAAGGTGTTTACTTAGCCTACATTTGTAAAACTTTCTAAAAAAAATTGCTAATCCAAAAATTAGTTTTAAATTGCACAGAAATAACAAATAATAAATGTTGGATATAATGAATTAAAAGAATAATTATAAATGACTCTGTTATCAGTAGGTAGCTTTTAATAAAAAAAAACTGTTTACCTGTTTATGTTTCCACTTTTTAGAGAGTGTAAAAGCATTTTCAAGAATGAGATTATCTGGTGCCTTTTTGGGCTTGCTATTCTTTATTCCTAGGGAAACTCCAACAGGGGCAAACCAATATCTGGAATCCAATCATTAGTTGATTCATAAATAATGCTCCTTCAGCAACATGTTTAACCTAACTTACTTTTCTAGAAGGTACCTCAAAAGTAACATTAAAACTGACATCGGCAAAGGATAAAATAGATGCCTGTGGTCGGCATGACGAATATTAGATTCTACATCGGGGTCTATGTCTTTCCAAGTAGTGTTAGGGGGTAACCAAATGTGCTCACTCCAAAATGTATCCAAGACGGTTTTATAGTAATAGGCCATTTTTAATGTTTGCTTCTAAATGTCTTTTATTAGTAACAAAATACTATATTCATACTAAGATCACACGTGTGTTGTAATTTCTACTTAAATTTGTTTAAAGAAATTCGCCGAACTACACCCTCTGCCGTCATGTCATTTTGATGACATTTGACACTGACAATTTCCTAACAGAATCAAGGTCAAATGTCTTTAGGCATTTTTATACGTTGTAAATATTTAAAAGTTTTTCATTGTTGAAATTGCGTCAATCCGTGCATGAAATTAACTACTTAAAACATGGCATAGGTAACAGTTGTATCCAAAGAAGACTTCGTTCATTACATTCGGTCTACCAAGCTTCTTTAACACTTTTAACTCCAAACGATTAAATGTGATTTAAAACCACCCTAAGGTCCGTATTTACAAATAGAAATCAGCTGAGTAGGACTTGGCCGAGTCGTCCTTGAACAAAAATCGAAGTTCGGTCTTTCGGTTATATCGCGTGATTTAAAGATGGGTAGTAACAAATTCGTAACATAGACATCATATTATCTTTGATATGTAAATGTACCTAACAGTTATAGATTTGCTAATATCCATATCTAAATTCCAGTGCAACACCAGAACCACCTGGAACTTCGATTTTTGTTCAAAGACGACTTGCACAAGTCCGACTCAGCTGAGTTCTGTTTTTAAATACCAGAACCTGGCCAAACCGAACGCTACTCTAAGTTGAGTCCTGTATGGTGACTGGTGACATGTGTCACATGTGACATAAGAGTAAGTGTTCTGTGGACATAAATATTGTGAAGTCGTAAACATCTTGTTTTTATTTTTTCTTTATTTTTTTCCTTTAAAAATGAATTCAAATATGAAATACACCTGTAGAACATGTTTAGAATCAAAATCTCAAACAGAATGTGTTAATATTTCACTAAACGATAACGATGACCATAATTCATTCGTACTGGAAATGTTGAGTTTTACTATTCCCGAGTTGGCAAGTTATAATTTGAAAAATATGTATATCTGTTTTCATGATTTACATTTTAGGACGTTTTTCTTGTAAATAACCCTGTTGTCTGTGGAAGTTGTATTGATCTATTAAAAACAAGCTTTAATTTTAAAACAATTTGCTTGAAAAACGAAGAATATCTTTTAAAACATTCACAAAACAATAACAAAAGGATTAATATATCTGAAATTCCTTTGAGGCCTCAAAATAAAACTACAAACAATGCAACAAGTGACAAAAATGCAGGTAAATTCGGTCAAAATAAATCAACACTAGTCATATGTATTTAGTAAAGTATTTGCATTTTAGGATCTTCAAATTCTAAAACTAATCAACTTAATAATAAAATAGAGAAGAGTGGAGCAAATTTATGTTGCGAAAGTTGTCATGGATGCAAAACAAAAAATTTTTCTAAACCATCATTACACAAAAAAGTTTGTGTTCCCCCTTTTAGTTGCTATAATTGCGATAAGTCATTAGATAACATACAAGATTTGCGTAAACATGTTTTAACTCATGTAAAACAAAGAAAATGTAAGGTACATTTAATTTTTTTTATATAATTATCTAAAAAGAAAAAGGCTACGGCACCGTAAATGAAAAATTTGGCTTAAATAGCAGACTCTATGAGCATGCGGAGATAAATAGAACATTGGTTACACTATGTATTTTTTATTTCTATATTGAAAAAAATTATTATCTGTAAGCCAAACTTTTTCTCTTATGTTTATGGTGCTGTAAGCCTTAACACAGTGATTGAACTGAAAATGCAGAAGATCCAGTGATGTTGAAGTACCATTTTAAAAAAAGAAACCAAATATATCTCTTCATTGCCTTTTATGACAAAACTTTCCTAAGCTGTGCATGATTCGTAAAAATTAGGCACTGATTTCAATAATCTGTTTTCTTCATTCAAAAATACATTTTAAATTGAATAACCTTATGAATTTATTTATATATGTAATTTCAGATTTGTCACAAAAGATTTCGGGATCTGCATATGTTAAAAGTACATTTACGTGTTCATACTCGAGTCAATCCATATAAGTGCAACTTATGTAATAAATCTTTTAGACAGTATTACAGTTTGAAACAGCATCTTGACAAGCACGTTGGTTCAAATAATGTCTCTTGTAAATACTGTAGTAAAGTTTTCTCTACGAAATACAATGCGATGATACATATGAAAAGATACATATGCAAAGGTACATGTAAGTCACTTGAAAAATGCGATCTTTGTGGTGAGAAATTTCCGAACAAGCCCGAATTGATCAAACATTTGCATAGTTCTACAGAATTTTGTAGAGGAGGGGCTATTAAGGAGGAGGTGAGTTTTATTTTTTTTAATATCACTCAAAAAAAAAATATTACATTACATTTCTATCCTTTTTTTTTATACTAAAGTAATTTTTTGGATTGTGAATTGAGATTATTTAGCATAAAAACTTACCTTTATTATTAATTCAAAAAATACTTGTATTTAATATATGGAAATCTGAAAATTTTAAAATCAAATGAACTAAAACCTGTGAATTGTCATTATATTCTTCTATACTTTATATTGTGGAGTGTAGAGTAAAGGAGAACTATATCTGTGTTGCAAGTGTCCCTAGAAAGGTAGAAAATTACAATGGAATTATTGTACCAGACTACCGTTTTTAAAAAAAATGCTGAAATTTAGTTCACACCAATGATGTATATGTATATAGATTACTCACTCATATGTAAATAAAACAACAAAAAGAGCTAAGTATATTACAATAAATAATAGTTCATCTCATCCATACAAACAAAAGCTGGCAGCATGCAACAGTATGATCCATAGATTAGTTAATATATCCCCCTTACCAAAGAGAACTTCACAAAAGAATTAAATATCATTAAACAAATCGCAGTAAACAATAATTTTAATTCAAAGTTAGTAGACAACATTTTAGAGAAAAAACTTTTTAAACATGCTATTCAACAAGTTTATCCCATAATTAAAGATTAAAATTGCAGATATAAGAGTCTTACATATATAGGAGCTCCTAGTGAAAAGGTATCATCATATTTAAAAAACCAAAATATTAACGTAGCTTTTAAAACCAATAATACGCTTGGGAAGTATATTAAAAACAATAAGGGTAAAATTAATCCTAATAATAAATCGGGGGTATATAAATTAAATTGTGGTAGTTGTCCAAAACTGTATATTGGTCAAACAGGCCGTACTTTCAAAAAGCGCTATTCCGAACATTATAATAGCTATACAAAAAACAAAAATAATTCTACTTACTCAAATCATATTTTAGCTGAAAATCATTCTTTTACAGACAACTTTGAAATTTTACATATAGAAAATAAGGGCAATAAACTAAACCATTTAGAAACACTTGAAATAAATAGATTTAAAAATTCAGATAACCTACTCAATGATCAATTAGATATTAATAACTCACCCTTATTAAATCTCTTTCCTAGTTTTCTGTGAGATAATCCCGGTAATATTACTATCTTATTGTTATCTGATTGATATCATAATTACCTAAGTACCCTTATTTACTTTAAATAGTTAGTTTATTTTATGTTATTGATGTTTTCTTAAGTACTTTGTTTTGTTAAATTATTTCGCATATATATTGGATACCGAATTGTAAATTAGTCACATTTGAAAAAGAAGTTGTACTTCGAAACATGTCATGTGTAGTATTTTTAATTTTGATTTTTTAAAATAAAAGTTTTGTGAAAATCTACCAAATTTGGTTTTACTCATTCAAGATAAAATGGATTTTCATCAAGTAAAGGCTGAAACAATAAATAGTTCATTTATTTGTTCTAACTATATGCAAGTTACTCTTATTTCTGGTAGTGTAGTTATGAATATTATTATTAAAATTAATGTAATCTCGAAAAAAAAAAAGGTGGTGCCAAACCATTTAATATTTTATATACAAACACCATAGTCAAATAGTATAATCTCTGGTAAACCGAAATCCATTGCAGTGATCTAAGCATGGTTGATATAGGAGTATAATTGCTACATCTCAATATAATCCTCATACCACGATTTTGCAGTTTTTGTAACTGCGTCGTTTGCTTTAGGTTGAAAAGGAAGATAACTGATGAACAATAATCAAAATGTGGTTGAATTATTGAACGATAAACTTTAATTTTAGTTTCAGCTGATAGGTTTTTCAATATTCTTGCAAAAATGTTCACAACAATAAAAAATTATCAAGTTGAAAGCCAAGGTAGGTCACTAATTTTTAACATTAATTTAACAATAATTGCGATGTCTTAATTATGGTTTATTTCACTGATTAATGAAAATTGGTTGCTTGATTAAATATTAATTTAATGAGAACCAAACTGATTTCCAAGACAATATTGTGAAAATCTGCCTATATGGTACATGATATTTGGAAACACCTTGTATCCTTAGTACACAAACGCTATTCTGGCCATTTTTTGGATACTTTTTAAAACAACTGTAAGAGATTGTCTTCCTTTTTTCTACACTCCATAATCAGTACTATCACTTATCCTTTTAAGATAATTGGCAAATTTTAAGGTTTTATTCTGTAGATACTTCTCTAATCAATCTTTAAAATAATAAGAACAGCCAAAATACTCTTAAAGGTTGTAATGATCATTCTCATAAAGTAACAAAGTTAAATCACTTACTTTCTTGAACCAGCTAAGATGCCAATGTAATTGTATTGATTTTGCAGGAAATAAATGTACAAATAAAAGAAGAAGTTGACATAGAAGATAGGACATTTGGGAATATTCTTATTAAGTCTGAAACAATGTCCGAATTAGACAATAAAAACGAAGATGATGATGTTGATATTATGAACTTATGACCAAAGTATTGCTTATACAAACTGTATATTAGTTACCGTTGATATATAAAAAATAATTTTTATCTCTATATTACTAGATATGTATTCTATCCAAAATGGTTAATGTTTAAAATATTTTAATTGTTACATTTTCTTTCCGTTAAGTGAACACTATCTTTAGTTATTATTATATTAAAATGTTTATAAATATTAAGAAATAGTAAATAACAATTATTATGATATTTAACAAGAAACAGCGAGATGTGGAATCGTTTTCGGGAACTAAAATCCTACTGGGAAGCTCAAGATAATTACGAAGACTTGGGAGAACAATAACTTAAGAAATATTTTATAAGCTTTTTGTTATAAATTATAACTATCCGTCTATATTGACTTTGATATTAAAATAAAAAAATATATTTTTTTATTAAAATTTAGCATTTACCTAATTATATTTTGATTTATTATCTAAATTAGTAATTGTTACTTACTTTTCATTTATTGTAAGTGCCTTATATATTATTAGGATAATTATTATGTTTTGTATAACTTTATAAAATAAAAAACTATTTTCAACATAAAAATATTTATTATTTAAAAAGAAGTCACAAAAAAAGTTAAATGACAAAAACCGATACTATTGTACAACAAGTATTAAAAGAAACAATGTTTTTTAAATATGATATAAAAATAGTCATGACAAACAATACGCAAATAAAAGCAAGTTATTTTTTTTTTCTATTCAATTTTCACTAAATCCAAATTTATTAGAATATAAAAAGCTTAAACTGGTTAATTCAAGTACATTCCATAAAAAAATCTTAGGAGAATTAACACTCTAGTTAGGTAACAAAAACTTATTTGAATATCAAATATTTGCATCTTCAAGGAATATTTTCAAAAATCTGCTTACTTTTAATTATTTTCAGTCTCTTAAAAATAAGTATTAATTCTTCTTTTTTTACAATTACTTACAAATAGAAATACAAAAAATATTTAATTATCCTTTATATTTTTTTGTTTTTATCACAAATGAAGGAAACTAAAGCATTTTTGTTTTTAATAAAGTTTATCAAGTTCTACTTTAAATTAATTTTTTTATGTAAAAACTATATGCAACTTGTTAAAATCATTTGTTTTCATTTTGTGTTGGTTTATTTAATATAAAATACTGAGTCATCGAAATATCTTTAATTTTAGAATGATCAATGTATAAAGTGTCATTTTTTTTCTAAACACCAACTATTGCTTTATGTTCTAGTATGACAATAAATAGGGTGTGGATTATTAATAACGTATTTTACATACAAAATAAATATTGCTCGAATGATAAAGAAGAATCAAATCTATGTGAAGTATCCTTTTTTATTGCATTAATCATTTGCGGAAAGACTGTATAAAAAGTATTCCAGTTTAATAATGTAAGTTGAGATTGAAACTTTTAAGCAAATGTTACTTCAAAAATTTCAATTTCAAATCCAACCCTGAATTCACTAAAATTAGATGAGCTCGCTACAAAAAGTCTTAGCTGTTACAACAATAGGAGTTAAAACCTTATAAATTATTATTTGAAAATAGATGGGTTCACAGACTAAAATAAAATTCAGAAACAAATAATAATAATAAGTACCAACTAGATCTGTTTTAAAAAATTCTGAAGTTCATTTTTGTATAACTCAACTGCCTTGTTCTTTACTGTTGATAGTTCTTTCTCTGACCATATTTATTTTAGAATTTACATTTGCTTCATTACTACAGTAATCACATAAAGCTGGCTCACAAGCTAGAAGGATGCACAATAGGCCCTTCACACATTACAGATATAGTAACAACATAATCCAACAAAATATCTTTAATTTCACGGAATAACCACACCCTCACAATGTTTTCGTTTATAATTTTAAAAAGTTTTCAGAACACCACGAAAAAATTGATAACTTAACCTTAAACTTAGTATATGTACAAAAAACCTATAATAGCGCGTTTAACGACAAACTCAACACCTACTTCCTATTTCATTGATGATAAAAAGAGCTTCAGTTTGCTTGAAATCCGGCGGCATGTTCAAATTTTCGATAAACTCCAAATAAGAACTTCTGAATACCGTGGAATGCGATTTTTTACAAAACTCCTTGTATATCGAAGCGCAACGCTTAGACATTTCGGCAAAGCACAGTTTTTGGTGATTCGTTTTCGGTACGAAATTCGCTATTCTACTGCTGATTGACTGCAGGCTCATTTGAATTCTCAAATTGTCTTCAGAAGAAACATATCTTTCTTGTAACTCTATGAAATCCCTGAACAATCCCGCTTCGTTGCTCCAATGTTCAATATCACCAGCACCTTCTTCGATTTCACCAATGAGAACTTTGATTATATCATATTGCTCGTTGACGAATAGAGACGGCAATAACTGATCGACCAGTATATCATTCGCCTTGCAGTAATCCCTAGCGTGAGCAAAGTGATTGAACGCTTGAAAATACTTTTCGACCAAAAGCGTTTTATGACCTTTGACCACGTGTATCCATTCCGGCGGTATGTGCATTCTGTTTACCAAATTGTTTTCGGTTTTTGCGGTGGTCTTGTTCACGTCGGATGACAGGTTGCGGTCTAAAATGCCCATAATGAGATTTTTCTTCAAAGAGTTGTCTTCGATGTGTAGTAGGATGAATATCGCCCATTCCCATTCGCCTAAAGATTCTAATTGATTGGAGAAGCTCGTGCATAGTTTGATTTTTTCGGAATCGTCCATTATTCCGACCTCTAATGACTGGAAAAGTTGTAGCAGTAGCCAGCTGAAAATAAAAAATGTTTTATCAGTGTGCAATAATAATGAAAAAAATTATATTTGAACTATTGCTGGGCAAGATTTAGGCCTACGACTATTCTTAAATAATAAAAATTTAGGCCAAATGAATTTTGTCGTATGTGGTACAAATGAACTAATTTTTAAATCTACATTTAATAAATAAAATAGCTAAAATAATGCGATACAATTAACATTTGTCATAAAAGGTTATTTTCTTGAAAGAATATCAACAAAAAAATATAATTGATACTTGTTGATAATAATAATAATGCAAACCGAATAATGTTTGTCATAAAATATTACTTTATTAAAAGATTCATCATCAAAAATAAATGTTGCAAATGAACTACTTCTTAAATCGACTGTTTTCATTGAGGATAGCAAAAAATGGAATATGAATGACCAATGTCCTAAAATATTACTTTCGTTAGAAGACAATCACCAAAAAACATGATACAAATGAACTACTTATTAAATCGACTGTTTTCATTGAATATAATAGCAAAAAGAATGGAATACTAATAACATTTGTCATAAAATATTACTTTGTTGAAAGACAATCACCAAAAGACATGATACAAATCAACTATTAATTGAAGATAATAGCAAAAATAATGGAATACAAATGATATTTGTCATAAAATATTACTTTCTTGAAAAACTTATCATTAAAAAGAAATGGTACAAATGAACTATTTGTTAAATCAATTGTTTTTATTGAATATAATATCGAAAGAATGGAATACAAATGACAACTGTCGTAAAATATTACTTTTTTTGAAAGACATCGTCAAAAAGATATGGTACAAATTAACTACTTGTTAAATCAAATGTTTTTATTGAAGATTATAGCAAAAAATTGAATAAAAATAACAATTTTCATGAAATATTACTTTTTTTAAAGGCATCACCAAAAAAGACATGGGACAAATGAACTGCTTGTTAAATCAATTGTATTTGTTGAAAGATAATCACCAAAAAGACATGATACAAATGAACTACTTATTAAATCGACTGTTTTCATTGAAGATAATAGCAAAAAGAATGGAATACTAATAACATTTGTAATAAAATATTATTTTGTTGAAAGACTATCACCAAAAAAACATGATACAAATCAACTGTTTTTATTGCAAAAAAATTGAATAAGAATAACAATTTTCATGAAATATTACTTTGTTGAAAGACTATCACCAAAAAGACATGATACAAATGAACTACTAGTTAAAGATTGTTTTCTCCATAAACACTAAAATGACATGATACAAAAGAACTACTATTCATAAATAATTACCTTAGCCAATAATCCAGATAATTATCAGTATGAGTGGACGAGTTTAACACCGTGCTCAATCTGTGCACCCTCGAACGATAGAGCATCAAAATGTGATACAGTAGATCAAAAGACCCTCCTTCTACGTAATTCGTCCTATAAGGTGGATTCGGCATTTCGGCATAGGTATACTCCTCGAACGCCTTCTTATATAACTCTATGACCATTTCGATGGGTGCTCCGACCGGCGACACGTACCACAAGTGCATGCCGAACGCCCTCTTCCAATCGATATCATCGAAGATGTTCACGTCGTCCCTGATCGGCGTTCCGGCTAGAAGAAGGTAAATCTTTTTCATGCCTTCATTGATGTGCTCGGAACTCATCGATTTGTACCAACTTTCTATTTGTTCTTGCAAGAACATCTTAGTTCTGTTCGTTACGCTCAACTGCGATATTATCAATGATAAATTGGGGTAACGTTTTTCTAATGCTAAATTTGCCGCTTCGTTTATTTTGAACACTGAAAGATGATCGAAAATGTTTTTGATTGGTTCATTGCCCGACTCGTAGCTGGTATTGAATTTTAACCTAAAAAGGGTATATATAAGTTAAAATCACGATGAATGACAGGTATTATTTGAACTCTATGAAAAATATGGCCATAATTTGAGCGTAGTTCTCAAAAAATCCGCTAGGAATCGTTAGTAAATGGTGTACTAAATGAAAACAAATAATAATGGATTAATGTCAGAAATATTAAGTTAGTTTTAGATTTTATCAAAAGAAAATTACATCTGTAATATGTAAAAAAATAAATAAATAGTGAAAATATTGAAAAAAAAAATTTGAATGCAAAAAGACAAGCATTTCTTCTTCCATTACGGCAAGGTACCAAAACAAATTTTTATTTTGTGGAAAAGCATGTTAAAAATATATGAAAGTAGAACTATGGTAAAACTGTTAAATGTATACCTTAATCATTGTTAAAGAAAGTAAGGAAATTACTATGTTATTTATAAACTTTCACTTGTAACTAAACCCTTTTAAGCACCGACCACAGAACTGGTATATTCCGTGGTTAAGGTTATAACTAAAATTATAGAAACGTGTGCTGAATCAGTAGAACGTACCATTCACTCAAGAGATGTCTTCTATTCCAAGGCGTATCTTCGCTGGGGCCCCATAGAGCATCGGCCAATGTCCAGATGCTGTATAAATACTTAGTTTCTTTGCAATTGTATTTCTCCATTAGGTTTTCAAAGAGTTTCGTTTGCTTCTTCAAATAAGAGTGGTTTTTGATAATTTTAAAAGTCGGTATTTGATTTGCGTCTAAATTAAAAGTGCTTTCTTCTAATACTATATCTAAAGAATCTTTCAAAATTTCCTAAAAATATACAATTAATTTTAATTTGACAACTATGATAATTTATTATTTAAATATTTGTCAAGTTACTTACATCTATTGGTTCGAAAGTTTTCACAGATCCACATCTAATATCGTTAAGAACTAATTGGGTGCCACCTTCTTGCTTAGGAACTAAGTTATAAAAACTGAATCCTTTAGACCATCCGACTTTGAATGAATTGCCTTTGAATATTCCCAAATCCTGATAGCTTCTTATTCTCATTAAATCAGTGCCACTTTCATTTTCTAGAAATAAAAATGATAGTTATCTAATGCAGCCCGACATTGAATTTTTGTAATGCATATTAAAAGAAAGAGTAGATTTAGAGTTTCTTTTGCAGCAACCGCTTTTTCCGACATCCATTTATGTTTTCAATTCTACCGAAATCGAACTTTTCTAAGAGGAAAAGTTGAATTAAAATGTTTTAAGAATATTGTGTGAAAATTTGAGATGAATCGAAGCAAAACTAACGAAGATACAGCGGTTTGAGTAACCGCGCCTCATACAAGCCCTGGCAGCTGTTTCGCTCTCTATATAATCCTTAACCTTACCTCCTACCTTTCTTTATAGAACTTTCAACACAAGTACAAACGTGTTTATACCTGTACTGTATATAATTTAGTGTAGCATTGGCCCGGCAGGTTCTTTTGCTTTACTAACCTCCATGCAAGACATGGGAATCAGTAGCGGATTAAACGCTCATGAATGAGGAATCATCGCAGACAGGAGCAAAAAGATGCTTTAGACATCATAGATGATAGCAACATCCTTTATGGATCTGGCATCGATGATCCAGTGTGATAAAACTCACTTTAAAGCGTTTCAAAAGTCGGTGCCCCTCATAACTTCAAAACTACTGCACCTATCCTTTTGAAATTTTGAACACTATTTATGTACATAATTTGCGAGGTAACGCTGGAGATTTTTTCAAGTTTGTTAATATTTTTTTATTTTTTAATAACAAATTAGCCTAAATTTTTTGCAAGAATCACGTGTTTTACTTCAAAGTGTTCCCAAAAAGTGAAAAATTGAAATTTCGAATAACCCTCCCAGCGTTACCTGGGGAAAACGATTATGTAACGAAAGAACTTTGATTTTTTTTTCTGATGATCCAGCACCGAGTTAGGAGGGGCACTGCAATTCAACTTTTTTCCGAGACGCTTCCGAATAATTGCATTTCCGTATTTTTTAATATTTCTTCATGAAAATTTGACACAATATTCTTTGAATGTTATACTTTAATGTACCATTAGTTTAAATAAACAGATTTTAACTGTGTCGTCAAAAAAAAACACAAAAATGTGCCTTTTTGCACGAATTAACGTTACCCCCCTTAATATAGCGAACATGTCATATTTTTCATAAATAGAAAACCAAGTTTCGTCATTTTGTAAATTATAAAAATGTTCATAACACTGTGAACTAAAAATATATTTGTATGTATTGAGGCTTTAACAAATTTCTCTATCCTATAATAATTTGATCAAAATAATTGTAGAAAAAACAACAAATAAATAACTTACCATTAATGTTATAAATTTTCTCTATTTTCGGTCTCAACATGATCTTTTTCTTCGGTACAGATTCTTCCCTAACCACCGATAAAGCTCGAATGTCATCGGGAATATCCAAATACTGCCGTATGATGGAAATATGACTGCCACCACCATCAGACGATCTATCATCGTCCGCGAACAACGTAGATTTCATGACTTGTATATTTTTACTGCTAGCGAAATCGTGGTGATGTAAAGGCATTTCTGTTGGTATAACGCGATAATCGTCTTCTGAAATATCTACGTACATGGAAGTCTGTAACATATCGCCTTCGGCTTGAAATTGAGTTCCTTCTTCCACGAAGATGTCGTCGTCTAAACCGTAAACCTGAAATTTAAACGTTTATTAAGAATTATTCGTTGGGTGAACTATTTTGAATTGTTGGTATTGGTTTTTATTTTTTAAATACAAAGGAGGAAGCACCGAAGTATCTGGTAAATAAGTTGGTGTACAATAACGAAATACATATAATGATGGACAACAAGAGCTCTTTTTCATTCCACCAAAAATAGAGTAAAGAAGCCAAAATTTCAATATTTTATAAAAGACGTAATAATTGAAAGCTCTGCTTAATGATTTCAAGAACTCTTGTTCCATAAAAGTGTTTAAAACAAAGTTAAGAACGTTTTTATTAAAAATGACCAACTTAATTGAACAAGTAGAAAATTGTATTGCATTTAAGCATATCAATTGTGTAATTTTTATTCTGTGTATGTGTGTTTTTTAGAAGTTTTGTAATATTTTAGTATAGGTTAGGTTGAAAATGAGTGGGATTATCTCATCGCCCTCCACTGCGACCCAGATGGGTCTATTGTGGCTCATAACTAACTTATAGTTCACCGTACAAGCCACACCTTTTATTTTAGTATAAGAATTATATTGTAAATATTGCTAACTAAATAAAGAAAGATAAATAATAATTATTAAATATATTCACCTGCTTTTCATTAGGTGATGATTTTGCCAATGACTCCTTCTCGGTTGCCTTCTCCACGGTCATTTTGGTCTGCACAGGAACATCCGTCGTAGAAACGCCTTCCATTTTCTTTTCGGCAGCTTCTTTTCCGTTTTTTTGGACGGTCTCTTCGTCGCTTTCATCGAAACCGTATCTGGAGAAATGGTCCACTTTGAACACCCAAGAACCGGTTTCCGGTCGATAGTCGATGAATTTGGCGTCCTTGTTGACGGTGACTTTACGTAATTTTTCCGAAAAGTTCATCTGCAAGAGCTCGTTGATGTCTTTGATGAGGACGTTGGTGCCAGGCCTTCGCGGATACACATTGTCTAAAGTGACTTGAGCTTTGCGATTTAAGCCCTAAAATAGATCATTGTTTCATAAAAAAAATATTCTATTTCAAGAAAGTTATAATATATATGTACATAAAGTAAAATTAATGGAATAATCGTCGCCCAAACAGCAATTATGCTAATGCCAAAGTGCCAAAAATGTTTGAGGTTGTTACGTAGAATCTGCTCAGTATTTCTCACGTAATCATTATAATATTGTCTTGACAAAGTTTTAAAATAGGCTGAAAGTCTAGCAAATTCCGTATAGTATTAGGGTAGATGAGTAGTTTTATATTATCTGTGGGCTCTTTTTTGGGATATTATGCATTTCCTTAGCTCTGGGAATACTATTTAGGGAAATTGCCAGAAGAGAACCTTCTAATAGGAGCAAAGCTATCTATAGTGCTATATAAAACATCATACAAAATGTTGACCATTTCATCGAGGGTTTTGTTGTCAAGCAATTGATCCTAAAAAAATGCCGTCTAGATAGTTAGAAATTCCGATAAAGTTTGCTGATTTGAAGTCATAGTAGTAACCTTCTGCTTTTAAACTATTATCTACACACTTATCATTACGGTTAACACTAATAACTAAGGGGAAATGGTAACTATCAGGGACCACTAGCTCTTCGATACCCATACCAACCTTGCAATCTACTTCATGGACAAGAACGAGTTGTAAGTGTTTTTTTTTTTGAAAGATATTATTTATTTACTTATGTAGCACTTACAGAATGTAAAATTCCAAATAGTACAGTATATCTAACCTAACACAAAACAATTGTATTAGTTAAAAACAATATAAAATAAATTTAAAAAATATGTATAAAATATAAAAAAAAAAAGAAAAATAACATAACACCGCGGGACGATACGAGTAAAACTTAGAAATTCAGGAGTTGCAAGTCCCTTTTCAGCGCCAAAATATTACAATTAAATATATCACAGTTCGAGAAAAATTTGTTATAGTTCTTGCATAAGCGATCAATAAATGCACTTTGTCAGTAATTAGTTGTGTATTTTTACATTCAAAAGTAATGTGTGCCGAGTCCGTCGGGCAGGAAGTAATAATTGAACTCTCTCAAACAGTGACCTGCACTTGATAGAACCACTTATTAATTTAGCCAGGAAAATGAGTAAAGCCTGTTTTCTTCTACATTCCAGGCTCTGCATGCCGCAAAGCATTAATCTTATTAGATGACATGTGTTATGGCTATGAAATCGGTGTTTAAAGAGCAGGTATTTTACGAATTTACATTGCACCCTTTTAATTCTATTGATATGATGACCAAATAACAGAACACCTGGCCACTTCTCACCAGGCCATTGTAAAGTGTCATGATTTTTTTGTGTCATCCACGTACCTAGTATGTCTCTTGATGAAGCCAAGCATTCTGAGGTCTTTGCATACTATGAAATCTATATGGTCGTTGAAAGATATTGTGGTATCAAAAGTAATGCCCAGATCAATAACTGTCGAGGATCTATCTAGGTTGACGCAGTATTAACAGTCCAGAGTAGGATTGTGGGATCTTGTAAAATGCATGGTTGTGCACTTAGAAATATTTATAGAAAGAGCGTTATTTTTACATCAGGTAGCAAGTATGTTTAGGTCAGACTGTAATGCGGAGTTATTACCAGTGTTTCTACTAAAAAACTTTAAATCATCCGCGAAAAGAAGGCATTGGCTATTAAGAAAGCAGGACGTAACATCATTAAAGAACAAGGAAAACAATAGAGGACCTATATGTGAACCTTGAGGAACACCGGATTGGACTGAAACGTCACATGATACGGAATTATGCATTATGACACGTTGACACCGATTACTCAAATAATATTTAATCCAGTAAAAATAAGAACCAGAGATACCGATTTCGGAGAGTTTCTTGAATAGCAATTCACCATCGGTGTAGATGGTGTCAACCGGGTAACCAATTTCAATTGATGAAATTAAGAAGCCATGTTGTTGAGGTGAGATATAGTTTTTATACGTGTAAAACATTTCATCTGTTAGTATGGATTCAAATAGTTTTGGAATTATCGATATAATGGAAATACCTCTGTAATTCCTTATATCGCTTTTATCATCTTTCTTATAAACTGGCATAAGGTGGGAAAACTTCCAAGCAGATGGAAATATTCCACTATCAAACGATTTTTGGAAAATTTGGCTAAGTGGGATTGACAAGGAGTCACAGCATCCTTTCAAGAACGACGGTGGTGCCCCATCAGGGCCCGCAATTTTACTAGAGACAAGACTTTTTATTTTAAAAGATACTTCACAAGGAGTGAAAGTGTGTATGGCTAAAGTGGAATAAAATGACACAGCGGGAAGATCAACTTTTCGGTTTAAGTCGTCTTTAGAATAGCACGTTTGGAAATAAGAGGCGTTTACAATTTCTTCAGGATCACTGAGTTCATAGTTTCCGTACCTCATTACATTAGGCAATCCGAGCTCTCGCTGCAAACTTTTAATAAATGTCCAAATATGTTTTGTGGAAGATCTAATTGGATTTTATAAGCATAAAATTTCAAAAATGTATGTTGAATCTGCTTAATTTTATTAATGTAAACATTATACTGAGGAGACCAAACACATAATGCATATTGTTGAAATTACATTCAACATGTCCTATCTGCTAAATACTAGGTAGACACTCCCTGTATAAACCTCCGCTCTTAGCAAATAAAAATAATAAAGTACTGAATAGTCACTCCCTGTATAAACTAATTATCTAAACTTGAAACAACACGCTTGACTTTCAAATGACCGCCAGACACCTGCTATGTGTCAAAGACACCTGTGTCTTCGCAAACAGTTAATATGATCACGTACGCAATCATGTGATCTGGGACGGCCAATGAGAAAAAAGGCGGTAAAACCGTCGCTGGCTGGCGGGATTGTATCGGAGAAAAAACGTTTCGACAGTCAAACAAAACACACATAAAAAATCTTCAACGCCGGCAGCAAGCCGAAATTTAAGTACAAGCATTTGTGCGATTTGATTTAAAAAGTTGTAACATGTAATCAATTAATAATTTATGTAACCAAGTATTAATATGTAAAATGTTGAATCAGTAAGCCGTGAATATATCAAATTCAAATATAAGGTGATAGTTTCATTTGAATAAAATCAGTGCATCAACCAGAACTTCGAGAGTATCTTCCAGAAGCTACAGGGTGGAGCATAAGGCCTTCACCCCAGGTAACATATTTCAAAAATAGTCATACAGTCCACCATGATCGAAGGCAGTAAATGTCAAGCCTTATAAACCCAGGGTAAGACACATATTGAAGGTAAGGTCTGACCAGAGTACAATATAATAACTTCTATTGAGTTAACAGTTGTTAGTGGTGCGTCTTGTATACTCGTATAAGTATAAACATTGCGTTCTCAAGCTCAAGTAAAGGTTCTTGCATGACATTTATTGACCTTTAAATCCATACCGTTTCGTATACACCATACCACTAGATTATTTAAATTAGATTGCAAATTTGAATAGTCAAGAAAAGAAGTTATAATATCGAAAAATCATTCGCAAATATTAAGAATTGGGTGAATTTAAAGCAGGTGATTATTAATAAACAAGTTGAAAAGAATGGGACCGAGGTGTGACCCCCCCCGGGTTACCCCGGACTTAACAGGTATCTCAATGGAGTAATTGTTTTTTATACGAACTATTTGCAGTCTCTCCGTGAGATAACTCCTAAGCCAACTAAGTAGAAGGTCTGAGAATCCCATCTGCTCCAACTTACAAACCAAAAAACAATGATTAACCCTGTCAAATGCTTTAGAAAAATCCGTGTAGATAGCATCTACTTGCTATTTCTGTTCCAAAGCATCACTCAAGACGCTGTTATATTTTAATAAATTCATATCTGTGAATCTACCATTAACAAAGTCAAATTGTTGGTCAACTAAGAATCATTCTATAATAGGCTTGATCTGGTCACAAATAATGCTTTCAAATAATTTTGGCATTGTGTTTAAAATGCTAATAAGCCTTTAACATAGCTTTAACATAAGCTTTTAACATAGCTTTTGTCTCCGTTTTTAAAGATTGGCGAGATGAAGTTAATCTTCCAAATGGAAGGAAAACTTTTGGTATCTAAAGATTTTTGAAATATAAAAAACAACAGGCGAGGTAGGCTAAAACTACAAAATTTTAGTAAACTAGGTGGAATTGTCAGGTACTGGATTTTTGTGGATATTCAAGTTATTTAGCTCATTATAAATTTCAGATATAGATATTTTATCATTATAAACCACTGTTGTCAAATGTGTTATTTGGAATATCACATTTGCTATCACTGTATGTAGTTGAGAAATGTTAAGCCATCAAAACTAGATCTAAATAACTGTGCCAAAAAATTGCTCAGTATTTCTTATGTAATCACTATAATATTGTTATGACAAAGTTTTAGAATAGGCGCCAAGTGTAGTAAATTCCGTTTAATCTTGGAGTAGATAAGTAGTTTTATATTGTCCGTGGGCTCTTTTTTAGGGATATTATGCATTTCCGTAGCTCTGGGAATACCATTTAGGAAAATTATCAGAAGAGCAAATCTGTCTATATATAAAACATCATACAAAATATTGAACATTTCATCGAGGGTTTTGATCCCAAAAAATGCCGTCTAGTTAAACATTCCCCCATAAAGTTTGCTGATTTGAAGTCATAGTAATAATCTTCTGCTTTTAAGCTATTATCTACACACACTTATCATTACGGTTAACACTAATAACTAAGGGGAGATGGTATTTGTTGGGACCACTAGCTCTTCGATAGCCATACCAACCTTTAAATCTACTTCATGGACAAGAACGAGTTGTAAGTGTTGTTTTTTTTTTTTTTTTAAGAGATGATAAGAACATTTATTGTGAATAGTTAAAATAGATTATCTTTCAGTTATGGTCACTCCTCGGCTTGGATGTGGTTTAGCTGTGAAACAAAAAGTATCTTGAGATGATCAGGGGCGGTTTCTCCATTGGTTCATTTGTGCAGTGAACACCCAGTTCAA